TACAGGTACAAATAGATGAGGAGAGAATAACCCCCACTAAACTGAGCAGCTCGGGAGGGTTCGCTTCGAGAGGATGCGGACCGACTATAGAAATGTTGGAGATACTCATCGCTGCCCAGCAGGCCCGGGAGGAAAAGAATGAGTCACATGACCCTCCCCTGCTACCAAAGGTTGAGCCACCCATATAGCGAGAGGATCGTGAGCCATCCTGGTACGACCCTACTCATCCACAGTATCATCCGACACCAATACAGTATGCTCTGATGCCCTAACCGCATCACCCGATACTACCACAATATAACCCAGTGCCCCAACTGCATTACTCGGCACCACCACGATATAATTTGATACCTCCACTATATCATCCAATACCACTACATGGTCGTCCAATCCATCCCTAACACAGCCCAGTCCCTCTTCCACGGGACCTAGTTCTTTCTATGATGGACCCAGGCTATATTAAGATGTATAAAAGACTAAACTCATCTACTTTTATAGGGATATCCTCATTTGAAGAGGCCAAGTACTGGTTGACTGAGATAAAGAAGACCTTCATGCCTCTTGGGGTGATTCCCAAACAGAGAGTCATACTTATCACCTACATGCTGGTGGGAGAGGCAGACTGCTGGTGGTAACTCAAGCAGGCCACCATGTCCGTTCTAGTCACTTGGGAATAATTCTTGATAATTTTCAATGCAAAATACCTCCTAGAACATCTTCAATATCTGAAGAAAATGTAGTTTGTACACTTGGTCCAAGGTGATATGATTGTATCAAAATATACCCGAAAGTTCTTAGAGTTAGGCAGGTATTCCCCTGAGAGCATGATGGATGTAGGCAGAAAGGCAAAAATGTTTGAGTGGGGCCTCCATCTTGAGATTAGGCAACAATTGTATGTGTTTGAGCTCAGTACTTACTCTGCTGTTCTGACCAAGGCACAGCTAGTGGAGAGGAACCTTCGCATTTTTCCTCAAGCAGTAAGGAATCTCAAGCCCTCGATTTTTCACTGCAAACCAGCACTCACTGCACCTGTTTAGCATAACAAGAGACCTAGGTCGATGACTCAGGCTCCTTCTCAAATTCCAACAATAGGTCGTCGTAGGATTTGCCAGCACTGTGGCAAGGATCATGGGGATCGACCCTGCTATCGCCTCAACAATACTTGCCGCATACGTGGGAGTGCTCAACATTATGCGATGGAGTGTCTGAGGAACCAGAACTAGGTCAGACCTCCTATCTAGGCCAGCGCTTACAACCTCACTCAATAAGATGCAGAAGCCAACCCAGATGTGATACATGGTATGTAAACTATCTGTAATCATCTTGTATATGTTTTGATTGATACTAGTACCTCACATTCATTTGTTTCATATATCTTTGCACCAAACTTGAATATATTACCTGAAAGACTTGGTTTTGTATTGTTTGTATCTACTCTTGGGAGTAAAACATTACTAGATGAGGTTATATACAGAGCCTGTATCATAGATATATCAGATAGAAAATTCAATGTGAACTTAATAGACATTAACATGGGGAACTTTGATGTAATTTTAGGAATGAACTTACTAGATGCGTATCACACCACTATAGATTATTTCCATAAGAAACTTATATTCAACTCTCCTAATGAAGAGTCATTTACAAATTAATAAAAAAATTTAAACATTATTCTTTCATGACAATTTTCTTATTATTAAGTGGTTTAACATGGCTGTTTTTTTCTAACTAGGCAAACCTAAGAAAGAAATTTATATTTGAGAGATTCTAGTAGTTCGAGACTTTTTAGATGTATTCCCATATGAACTAACTGGACTGTTAGTGGACATAGAAGTTGAATTCATCATAAACCTTCAGCCAAGCACCCAGTTTATTTTGATTGCCCTTTACCGTATGAGTTGTGTTGAGATGTAGGAGCTAAGAAAACATATAAATGAATTACAGGATAATGGATTCATCCGACATAATGTGTCCCCTTGGGGTACTAGAGTCACATTTGCAAGGAATGAAGATAGGATGTTCAGGTTATATATTGACTACAGAGGTTTGAACAAAATCACGATAAAAAACAAGTACCCCTTCCCCATGATCGATGACATTTTTGATCAGTTGTAGGGTACCTAAGTCTTCTCCAAAATAAACATGCGTTCAAGTTACCATCGGGTAAAGATCAATGTAGAAGACATTCCTGAAATAACTTTTCGAATCAGGTACGAACACTATGAGTTCCTGGTCATGCCATTTGGACTAACCAATGCACCAGCCATCTTTATGGATTTGATGAACATGATTTTCAGATAATTCCTGGATTAGTTCGTCATTCTATTCATCGATCATATCCTAGTCTATTTAAAAAGGAGAGAGGAACACGTTCACCATCTGACTCAGGTTTTGTAGGTTCTCAAAGAAAAGAAGTTGTATGCAAAGTTGAGTAAGTGTGGGTTCTGGCTCGAGCAGACTACCTTCATAAGACACATCATATCAAGGGATTGAGTCTCAGTGAACCCCGAAAAAGTTGAGGTAGTGCTCGGCTGAAAAAAATTGACATCAGTCAAGGAGATTCATAGCTTTTTGGGGATGACAGGTTATT